TGGATTGTTCTATTACTTGAGACTGGGTATTTCATTTTCAATTGTTTTTAACTATGCTTTGTGGGAACTATTATTCACATCTCAACTGTTTATAGTAAAAGGGTGGGGTATTGATTCCTGGAGCTCATTAAAATGCGCACAGATTAATTATCCCCTCCCCAAATGCTCACATTCGGTTTTTACAGATATTGATTTTGACGCAAATAAATCAAAATTATTTATTATTCCTCGGTGTTATTTCTGTAGTAGCCATTCGCAGAATTACAGCTCTTCTATCTGGAATGGGAGGATGATGGAATCTGAAGGGAGGATAGATGAAATGGAGTAAATACGCAAGTGGCGGTTTGCTATTGCTTCCCACAATCACATGATACAGTGTAAACTTTCATATTTTAGCCGAATTTTTCATTCCGCAGTGAGAGACTACTACTAACTGAGATAATATTTCTTTCCCATACGTCACATAAAGTTTTCACTATTGTTTGACGAAAATAAATCAATTTAAATCAAGCACATGTAATCACACACAAGAGAAAAGATCTACAACCTTGATGACAGTCGAAAAAATTGTGTGCTCTTTATCATATTTACCGGAGCGTCAAACTGCGACGAACTTGTGAAATTGAGAAACTTAATATAACCCTCAGTAAGAACGAAAATTTTAATAATTTAGACGCACTTCTACTTTTACTTCAGTGCTTCTCTAACTAAACCTAATTTCATAATACGTGTGTTACAAATACAGATGTCTGGGAAAGTTGATATCTAATGTTAATAGCCGTCAGGCAATATAATTAGCTTCCCGTTAGACACTTCAAAACCAAACTTTATTTTCTTACTAAGCGTTTTAAAATACAAAAATAGTACATGTATCAATAATACAAGGAATATTATTAACTTTCATTCAACTGACACTACTCCAGCTCTCGACTTTTCTGAGGATGAGATTATTTGAAGGATCTTCCTTACTCCTATCCAAATTTTAGTAATACTATGTTGTTGTATTCAACTAACCAATTGTCTACGATAGCATTTAAAAGGGAGTTTTTTAAAGGCGAGGAGTCACAGCAAATGACAGCACTATCGATCTTCTGCTCATGCGCAATTTTTAGATTCGCATAACTTTCGCGCATCTGCGCACTCAGTACGCTACACCGTGCAACACCTCCCTAAAAACGTGAGAACGTGCATCGCACGTGGGCAATGCATGTGACGTCCGTATGTTTTCAAGCGGTATCTTTCCGCTGGGTCATTCACAGGGGCGACGACCGCAGTGACATAAGCGAATGCAACTCTTTTGCGTATGACACAAGCCGAGAAATGCGGTGACGCGCGGTGACGTTGGCGGAGGGTGGTCGAGACTGACATTCCTCGGAAAGATCAATCGACTTCCTTCGCGATAAGAAGCGATAGCGCGGGCCATGGCAATGACCGTGAATGAGTTGCCGGATACGGGAGAACCCCGCCTTCGCCTGACCCCACCCCACCCCTCCCGATCATTCGCACTCGCGTTCCCGGAAGACCCCGCCAGACGATGTTACCCTTTAAATGCTCTTCTTTCGCGCTTCTAATCGACGTAGACATTGGGTTATTAGTCAACTCCAAAACAACATTTATGTGAATTCTTTGAGTACAGCACTTCTTATTTTTTTATTGCAGATTTCGTTCCAGAAATCGCTTGTTCTTGATTCTCTGCAGAGAGTGAACATGGCATTTAAATCATTATCAGATAACTCAAGTGACGTAAAACAAAAAAACACAAAAAAGTAAGTTATCATGCCATCTCACCCAACACTGGGAAACTCAAATATTTGATCAATTCAACAGATAATTCAGAAATGCTAATTACTAACAATCTTCCTTTCGTAATTCTACAATACGATTTATTTCTCCCGCCTATTTTTCTTCTATATGCATGCCTTTAGTTTTTGAATGCAGTTTCCACTATCGATTCTTACGATGGCATGCAAATTAACTTTCTTTTAATTAGTGACAATTTCCATTTAATACATAATACATGAGGATTTAATTGATTGTAACAATGATTGAATGAAGCTGTAAAAATAAAGGCAAGCGAACGTAAATACCTACCGCACTGATTTTAACATATCATACACAAAGAATGCAATAATAAATCGCATCAAACTTGCTTATGTTTACACTTGACTGCCACTTGAGTGGATATTTTTTTATATAGTTAGTTTTAGTAATTTGAGAAACGCTGTGATTTGGAAGATCGCTAACAAATATGTAGTTTAAACTTACAAAAATAGTTGTTGCTTTGCTTCACGTTCGATTAGAGAAAGCCTTCATAGCCTTTTTTACCAAACAGTAATTATTTCTTTTCATTGTTTACAGAGCGTTTTCGTCGAGAAATCTTTCTATAACATTTACAAAGTTCTATGCTTAACGCGAACCCTGACTTAATCGTAATTTGCAAAAGGTTTGAAAATTCCAAAGGTGTGAAAGGTCAACGGCAACGACCCATTGGTGATGATGACGATATTTTCGTTTTTAGAGCAATATATGAACTGATGTTCATTCATATACATGATAACTGTTAGAGGCTTTTACGCAGAGAAAAGAAAAAAAATCCTACAGAACGACAGTTGGCAAAATGAAAGCTCTAGACCGCGATATGAATGCAAATATATTGCATTTTCAAAGCTTGCAGACTTTGCATATGGAGACACAAAGCTCTAACAGGAACAACGTACTATTTGCTAAATGATTCTTTCAATATTGCTTTTTATGGTTATTACGAAATTAAAATAGCTGAAGAAATATTTTGCTCATGTTTCAATCACTCTCTCTGCCTTTTAACAATCATTTACATATTTTTGCGAAAAATATACAATTACATGGAAAATACTGTGGCATTGAGGTAGAAGCTGAGGTGAATATTTTAAAAACAATTAACATCACGAGGATTTTAAATTTAAACATAAAGTGATTAAGCGCTTAAATGCAAACCATCGTGATAATTGAACACTACATATCAGAAATCAAAGATAGCCAACATTAACAAAATACCAAGATTTAATACTGAATTGATTAACTATAGTACCTATATACCTCCCGACCAAATTAAAACGACGACGCAAAATAAATAAAATACTAACACAGAAATGGCTTTCACGCAATAAAAAAAGTATAATATCAATAAATACAGGGAATTTCGAAAATTATTTTAGAGTCGGGCCAGAATAGCAGTGCTGATGAGGTCCCCCAAGATATTCTCGGACTCTGCATTTCGTAAAAATGAAGACCCACGTATTTATTAATTTTTGAAATTATTTTGAAAACTTTATGTAATTTTAAAATATTTGTTATGCGGCACGTAAAAAAATTGTTAATTTTCAAGGAAGTATTAATTGAATAATTTTATCGTCCATCAGCTGGACTGAATACTCAATTCAATTTATTTCTGCGAAATTCGCTAAAAGGTCTGGCTTGTCGACTTACTTATTTTACTGTATTATCTTCATCGAAATTATAGAGATATTTATGATGATACATTGACTTCTTATAGGAAAGAGGTATCTATGTAAAGAAGAGAATGCATAAATGCATATGAACAATAAGATTTCCGATTCAAGTAGATTCAGAGCAAAACTGGTTTCACATTATCATATTTGGAGGGAAATAAAAGAAAGAGTTCATCTCGTAGTCATGTCCAGAGATCAGGTGAACGAATGAACGTTGAAAAAGTTTCAAAGTAGAGAGCTTTTCAGACAAAACTCATTATTTTATGAGATAGTTTGTTCGACCAAGCCATTGTCGTCATTGACATCAAAGAACGCAATGCACACAACATTAAATATGCAAGTTAACACCAAAAAAACTTAATAGTGATATTTACTGGTTGACAACAGTTGGCTAATTATCCTAGATATTAAAAAGAAGTAAGAGGAACATAATATAATGGAAGTTTCTCAATCCGAAAAAAACAATTAATACATAGCAATTGAAAATCAATTCCAGCTAAACTTCCGTAAGTGTATTCAAAATTGGAATGTAAATGCAAAATGTACGGTAAAAGAAAGGGATTTTCCATTCTCTTCATTCATCAGACTTCCTTCTTTAGCTTAAAAGTTCAATGCACTATATAAATGTGTAAAAGGCAGTGGCAAAATTGCACAGGCCAGAAAAAAGAAGGATTTACATATTAGAAAGAAAGAATAAAATAAAAGAGTTGGGAGGAGGCAGAGGATTTCAGGATTTAGTTTTTATTACGAAAGTAAAACGCATATTTACTTTTATGCACATCCACTCCCATCAAAATCCACTTGAAAGTGTAGATTTCATTCACATTTTGGAAAAAATTCTTTGGCAATGTATTCCCTCATTCAGATTTGACTTTGATTTAAATGCAGCGCAACACTGCCAGGAAACCGTTCCACAAACAAAATTTGGCAACACATGGTAAGTAAAGTCCTGTACGCACTCACGTTGTTTTGAATCGCGATCCATGAATAAGTTCACGATAACCCAAAGCAATAAAAACACAGTTCAGAGGTGGCCGAATTCCCGTCGTAACATGTAGTATTCAACGTCCGCGCACTGTTGCCTCGCTCGCTGGAGCAACACAGTCTTCGTCATGCAGGCTGCTACTTACGTGTGCAACGTAAACACCACGTGCGATAAGGGAATACCACAACATTACACGCGTTGGTTCGCGAGCGCGTATCGTACGTGAAGCAACCGAAGCGGCGAGACGTCGCGCAGCCTACCCGTCGCGTCGGCGCGCCGCCTGCACTGGCGCGGGCCGCGGGGCGCCCGCGCCGCAGCGCCCCACCCGGGCCGCGCCACGCCGCCAGCGAGAGGGGCTGGGCGGCCGGGTGGGGGAGGAAGGTCGCCCGCGGCGTGGCGCGCGCGCGCGCGGCGGCGCCCGGCGGCGGCGACGGGGGCGGCGGCGGCGGCGGCGGCGCGCTGCGCTGGCCGGCCGGCCGCCCGCCGGGCTGCGCCGGGTCCGCCTCTCCACCGACCAACGGCAGGCCATGCGCCGGCTGGCTTATATAAGCGGCGTCGGCGGGGAGGGCTCCATAGTTCGCTCGCGCGACCCCGCTGCCGACGTTCCCGCCAGTCGCCGGCACACGCGCTTCGCTCACGCACACGTCCTCGAGCTCGCGCTCACCATGTTGGCGGAGAAGCTGTGGGAGAGCGGCGCGCTGCTCGTGTTTGTGGGGGTGCTGGTAGCGGTGCGCCTGCTGCAGCTGTTCAGAGAGCTGTGCGCGCTGCCGCCCGGGCCCTGGGGGGTTCCGCTCATCGGCTACTTGCCCTTCCTCAAGGGAGATATGCACCTGCAGTTCCACGACATGGCGCGCCGCTACGGCCCCATGTTCAGCGCGCGCCTGGGCAACCAACTGGTGGTGGTGCTGAGCGACCACAAGACAGTGCGGGACGCCTTCCGCCGCGAGGAGTTCACCGCCAGGCCCAAGTCCTTCGTCACCGACATCCTCGACGGTTACGGTGAGTACCGATCCTGACTTTTAGCCTTTTCGGGGGAAAAAAATATTGCAAGTGATTAAAATACATCGATGGCTATTTGATGCTTTTTTATTGTTCTAATTGAATTCAATTTGTGCATCAAATATCGCCAAGAATTTTTAGAATGCAGTTTAGTAAATTTTACATTACTAGCATTTATTTTACTTATCTCTATAAACAATGGTTAGTCTTTCAAAATGTTTATTCTATTTCTATAAAAACAGAAAAGAAATGAGAAATTATGAATTATTAAGAATTTTAAAATATTAGTGTTGATATTTACAACACTTAGTAAGTAATAAGAATTTCTATTTGTTTCCTGAATCTGTTGCATTAGTAAGCGTAAGTTAAGTTTATAATTTTACTATGAGAAAATTTGTGCAACGACGTCATTTCTTCGTTTCAAATGTTTTGTAAATCAAAATTGACTTTAATCACCGTACTTCGCCACAAGCTTTGCTCTTAAAGATATAGCTGTAAACGTTGTAAGTGTTTTCGCAAGGGGCTGAGTGAGTAGTTGGGCGGGTGGGCACGTAGATCAACGACGCACGCGCGTGCCTCGGACGCCGCTGCGCGACCACGTGCTCCTGCGCACGCGCCGGCGCGGTGCGCTTGTTCCGAATTTGCGATGTGCGACCTTGCGAGTTGTCGTTTTCACTCCACCTGTTGTACCGGCCTGACCGGTGTGGTAATTTCCCCGACGGACTAAGAGTGGACACGACAACGTCTGCTGGAATGCATGTATACTCCATAAGCTACTCGACACCAGAGAAACGAGTTGCGAATTGCCACTAGAGAACGCTGCTTTGCCGCCTTCCAGGGCTTCCCGCTGGAAGAGCAGGCGCGTGGACAGGTTCATGCGTCCTGAAGGAGCGCTCGATCCCTCAGATCCTAGAACTCCTCGGACAAGTTCATGTTTTGATACTCTACTCTCGAAACTTAAATGATGGAATCTTGTTATGGTTTCAATTTTTTAATGATTTTATATTTTTCACTTTCATATCTAATGAAACTTGAAATTTGTCTACTTGAGATAAACATAATTTCAAATTCGCAAAAAGAACACCCTGAAAATAACTTTTCATAATTTTTGACAATGTACATAATTTGTAAATTGCACTTATGCCGATTACATATTCAGCACTTGATCTACAGTCCCGTATTAAGAGCAGGTAAACATATAAGTGCGAACTTGATTTACTCAACAATTACAAAATTATCAATATCCAAGAAATCCCCGTGCCTGTTGCTCGTTTAATTTGTGAGTTAGTCGAATGTCGAAAGCCCGTTCCCCTCTGTTGTCAATCTCGCCCATTGTTCGGAGAGTTGTAGGTGTTGAAATCTGTGAATCATCTCCCAACCGAGCGGCTTCTCGGTGCGCGTGGCATCTGCAGCACGGCAACGGGCCCGGCGCGGCGGCCGGGCGGGTGGCTGGCTCTGGCCGACGGGTGGGCTGGGCCGGGCAGGCCGCGCCGCGCCGGGCCGGGCCGGGGCCACTTCTACGAAAACGGCCGTTGTACTTTTGTAATGGCACGAGCGCCGGTGACTGCAGGTGCGTTTAGCGATGAGCGTGAAAAACAGCGTGCGGCCAAATTACCGGCTGAAGATGCAGAGGTTCGTTTCGGCGTCAACATGACCTCTTGTGGCACAGTTACCAAGTTGTAATACTCAGAAACATTGCCAGTTATTACATTAATTACTTTAGATGTGTTCTTGGTGTTTAAAATATCTGAATTATTTGTTAAAATAGTCAAATACTTTAGTTTCCGATTCCATTTGTGTGAGAGCTGAGTGGACAACTTTGCTTAATTTAATCAATTTTTTGGAATATAGTTCGCTTGAAATTCATCGAAAATATAAATATATTGTTCACTAGCAAGAATTCAAGAATCAGTGATTTCCTAAACTAATCTAGGAAAGTCACTAATAAATCTTAAAACTAAATCCTCCAAATGGGCCGAATTCAAAGCCTGAAATAAATATTGTTCATTTCTAAATATTTGCATTTTCATTGTAAAGCAATTGGATGAAAACTCGTGCAAATAACTATCAGAAACCAAAACATCCCTTCAAACGTCCAAAGAGAAGTTATGTGATGCAAATGCATGCATTCGCAAATTTCAAGGAAGGGCGGGGGGGATGTTGACCGTGACCCCGACCTCTGGATCTGACAGCTGCCTGCCTCCCCTCACTACTGTTTGAATGGAAATTTTCTCTTGCGAGAACACAAATTCCATGACGAAGAAGTTATATTATTTTATATTTAAAAAAATATTGAATCCTAATACGTGACCGACATTTGAAGGCAAACCATTAAAATTACCGTGATAAAATCAACATATCTGAACAATTCTTCAATGTACTGCGAGGAACAAACACATTGGTTTGGATAACAACTCACAAAATGTTGGGCAAGTTCACATTGACTCGATGTTTGTAGAGAAACTCCACGCATAGTACATCATTCGCACACACTATTTACAAACACGCACTTGTGCTGAATTTGTTAGCACGACTGCGTCATTCACGATGATTAGCGACTGTTCACGGTTGCGGCATCCGCGAATGCGGTAATCCCCACGCTCGAACCGCGTCGCGACCGACACTCCGCCTGCTCAAATCCCGCGCCAGCGTCCCTATTTGCTTGCGCGCGCGCATGCGCACAACGTACTTGACGCATGCGCATTGGAGAACGCTGCAGACGGCGCGAGGTAGCCAGTGACCTACAGCCACATCGCTTGTGGGCGTCGCTTGGAAGCAGGCACGTGCCGTTTTCAGGCCGAGCTGCGTTGCATTTTTTTCTCAACCAAGTGTGTTCAAGTTGTCTTAAAATTCACATGTAACATTTTATTACAGACTCTCACCCAATACTCCTATAGTAATTTAAACGCCTACAGACGTATCAGTTTAATTTTTATTATTTGGATAATTTTATTTTTTATCAAAATCGATTCAATAAATATAATGGCGACGCCATTAACTACTCAATTCTACACTAAAACTTTTTAAAACCTAAAAAATTTCAAAATACAAATACAGCTGATATTTCTAAGTTAATGCATTTAAATGCTTGTTAAAGTTGTAAATGATGCAATAGAACTACTCGTTACTTTGTAAGCAGCTTCCACGTAATCGACCGTTGCATTTCAACTCCTTACTTTTTTAGCGTCTCGTGGTTAATATGTCCGCAGTCGCTCTCGCCACGAGTGAATCCATACGTATACCACGCCCCAGCACCGGGCTCCGTCCGCGCCCGACACTGTTTAGTCTGCTGCCTTCGAAAACGCGCCGCTCAGCGCCGGCCGCCGCCCCCGCCGCCCGGCATTCCAGGCGATGCGCGGAACGTTGTGTACA